GCGGGGAATTGCGGAGGATGGGACCTCGATCGGTTCGAGGTGGGGTGAGGTGGGGGTATTCATTCGTTGGGACTGGGGTATATGTCTCGTTTGGTGCACATGTGAAATGAGAACATGGCATGGGAAGACGAAAGGCAGATCCGCCTTTGCACATGCGTCTGTCTCTCCGTTAGTTAGACCGAATCAACACGGTGGCCTAATTGACCGGCGCTAATGTACACGATCCTAAGCTTTCGCTGTGCTTCGTCGTTTTTAATCGACTCGTCGAACGATTTCACTTACGTCCGTTGGGCGTGAAATTTTATTCAATCACACATTTCCCATTAATACTTTTATCCTATTTTTATTTTTTAGAAAGTTGTACCGTTTTTTCCTTCTATTTTCATTCTTTTTTTTTACAAGTAAACGAAATTGTTTGAATTATTAGTTTCTTTTTTTTTGTCGTAGTACGCGAAATTGGGGTGCAATTTCTGTGAGAAAGGAGAAAGACACAACAGCTGGTATTCGTTTGGGTTGACATTTGTTCATTTTTAAACAAGTAAACAATATTGTATTCGCAAAATGCAATTGAACAACGACACTTAATTATTTATACCGAAGTAAATGTTAATTATTATAATTGAATAAAAGTAAAAGATTTTTTTTTCTTTCTCTACGAGAAGAGACCATTGTCTCCTTCAGCGACTTCCGTTTTTCCAAGAAAAAATATCCATTAGAATTATTTCAATGTAATCATCGTACATCTAATGTGACACATAGATTGTAATTTCCTAGCACGTTCTGTCTACAGTCTGACGTCATACAAACTAAGGTGGTCCAAAGTAAAGAAAACCGGAAGTCTTGTTGTTTCCATCATTATTGTATTTATCTATTGTCTTCGTGTTTGATTGTTCTAATAAGAAATTTATGCTTAGAAAAATTCGTATTTGTAAAAATATCTTAACTTTAGTATATTTTTAATTCAGTAATCAAATATTAAATGAAAATAAAAAAAATGAATTATAATAACGAATGAAAGAGATTATTAATTGGACACAATATCTCTGCTGACTAACATTCGAAATTGTTTCTGTTTTGATAAAACGGTTTTATCTTTCGAGGATACCCACGCGTGTTGAGAATTTAATTGAAGTTTCGAAGATACGTTTATACAGGAAATTATACGCGTCGATTGTGTTTGCATTTTGAATGAGAAATAAGTTATCCATTTCTATTCCGTTTTTTATTCTTTGACATTAAATATAATAAGTAGTAGTTAAGATTTGAATCTAAGAAAGTTCAATTTCTAAAGATCATTAAGAGTTGCTTCGAACTCTTAAAAGGGTACTTAGCATATAACCATTAATGACTCAAAGTCATAAGATGCGAATGCATGCGGAACGTTTGACAAAATGGCTGCCAAATGTTTCACATAAATTATTTTAGACGAGAATATATTGCTTTGGTAATTATCATCGAATGTAGTTGCGCTATGATAAGAATTGAATAGAGACCTTTGATTTTGTTATTCAGTTTTCAATTTCAATAGAGAACAAAAATCAATCGAGTTAATCTTTATTACGTTTTATGGAATATGTATGAGAATAATCGAATGATGTAATTGAAGTGGAAACGAGATAACTTCTTTCTTTTTTCTTGTTTTTTGTGTGATTGACTAAAACGAATTTCATTGTGTTCAGTAGCACACGATGCTACTGATGTAATGGTTGACACAATCACATTGGAGACAAATTCAAAGATTATTTAAATTTAATGGAAACCGTAGAAACGGTGACTGCATTACGTAGGATATTTACCCAGAACACATACGACGACTAGTGCATAATGTATTCGAATATTCGGAGGACGGAAGGCGAGAACATCCGGTGCGTTTGCAGACCAAATAGTCGTATGTTAAGAGGGTCGCATGTTGAATGTTGGGACAAGAATATGCTAAGCATCAAAAATTGCATATACGATATGGTCCCTGGTTTCACTTTATTTTCATTCAAAAATAAATTCAAATTTATTTCTTCAAATATTATAACTTTGTAATGGGAAATTTTTGTGGAAATTGAAGACATCATTGTATATTTAATATGGCATCATATCTACGGTACACAAACAACACAGGGTAATTATTTAAACGAGAAACCATGAAAAAAGAAAATAGAATTTTCTCGTGTAAACATTTCCCCATATGTTCACGTACATTTCTCATATTTTTTCTTGTTTTTAACATTTCCATACTCGTGATTTTTCCTCGTTAGTAAATAGAAAGTCTTCATTTATAAAAAGTCTCATTTGTTCTTTCTCTCTTTCTCTCTCTCTATTATCTTTATCTATTTTATTATTCGTGTAACCAATCGCTCATTATTATCCATCCTAACTGACGATATTAGTCACTCCCCAGCAATTTCGATTAAACCCATGAATTAAAGATCGAGTTAGAAACTGAAACTCTCTGTTAAAAGTGAAAAAGAAGACGTGGAATAATAATTAAGTAAGAATTCGAACGAAAGAATATTTTAAAGTTAATCGATTTTAATATTTCGTATAATTAAATAAAAAAAATTTTATTCCGATCATATCTTAAATTTGTTAAAAGCATTATAGTAACGAAATTTTCCTGCATAACTTGACCCAATTGGTAATTGAATTACTGATATACAAAAGAGCCAATAAGCCCATATTCAGTAAGGAATATTAACAACGTAAAATTTAATTAAAAAAAAAGTAGACATCGTAAAAATAATCCTAATTGTAAGTAGGGAAAGAAAAGTCAGACAAAAGTAGAAATTTCAAAGCCTATTTTTTTTTGTAACCAAATATTGTATTTATTATCGAAATAACTAAAAAAATAAATCAAAAAATTGTACTTTAAAACAATCATGCACGCATGTAGTTGTGAAGTATAATAATTTTTGGAATATAACCACAGGTTCGTGAATATTATCCCTTTATAAAAGAGAAAAAAGACAAGATAAATACTTTAACTGTATATATACCATAAAATGTGTCTGGGTATTTTCAGACGTATATTTAAATTCACTTCAAATAATTATCCTTAATTATAATTCGTCCTTCATTTCGTACCATGGTCAATGACTCCTTCTTTCCGGCGCGACGAATGTATATATATATATATATATATATATATCAAGTTTTTCACTGTATAATCTTCTATTTTTTTCTCTTCTTGAACGTTGACGTCAATCTTATTTACTATAAAAACGTCACACGCAGGAGCATGATACTATAATTCGTTCTTTTCGTTCATGTGAGTAAGTACACTCGAATTTATAAACGAACTCATACTAAAAAGCCAATCAAAGCTTCTTAAGCGACCTAGTTCATTGTTTCTCTTCGTAATTTTAATTTAATGTTATATCCATATGTTGGGTTGGCAATTAAGTTGTTGCGAATTTTGAATAAGAATGAAAATTCACAATTTCTGCTTAAAAATATAAGTTTATTCAATTTGGTACTGTCCATTTTTGTTGATGGCCTTTTGTCATCGGTCAGGCAGTGTCATAATACCATGTTTATAAAATTTCTGATCTTTGCTATAAAAAAACAATTAGGTGTAAAACGAAATCCGCTTAGTTGCCAAACCAATAGAACATCTATACCCTAGTAGCACAAAATATTGAATACATGTGTATTTAATATTAAAAAGATATTGAATCTCTTTTTAATATTAAATACACATGTATTCAATATTTTTCAATATTTTGTGCTACTAGAGTATATTGGACAAAATTTATAATTTACAAAATTATTTCTAACGAAATAATTATTATAATATTGTATAGGTAGATAGATATTTATGGTCTAAATAATAAACTTGATTATACATCCATGCACTTTCACGAAATGTAACATTATACAACAAATGTAACTACCATGATATTATATAAAATTATTATTAATTTTATTTATTATATTCTATTATTATTATTAGTATTTCAATTGTTTGAGAAAATTGTTGAAATTATATGTTACAAAATTATTCTTCTATGCACAATAATATATTAACCCTTTGCACTCCGCACGACTTTCGACGCTGGGTAGCAGCAACTTCGTGCGACTTCGCGGCAGAAACGGCATTTACAGATGTAAATGTGCCTCGTATTATTTAGTATAACTTTGGAACCAAATAGCGGATTCTAATGATATTGGGCTTATATTAATCTGTAGAGATCAAGGAATATATTTAACTAAAGAACTTTTACCAAAAGAACTTATTTTCCAAGAGAATGTATGTGTGTAATAGCGTTGCAATTGAAAAAAAGCGAACGTGTTCCATTGTATTTGAAATGTGATACTATTTGATAATATTTCTTTGTACATTATAAATCTCACTATAAAATGCGAGATATGCTCCTATAAAAACATTTCTTCTACAAATTCTTCTTATCGCTCTTCTCAAGTTTTGCCAAAAAGTTCTCGGACCGTCGTGAGCACGCGTCTCGCATTCTCTTAGAACACAAAACCCTCTGCCATTTTGTTTATATATCTTTGTTATTTTACTATATTTTGATTCGATTTCTTGTGCTATTTTAAGAAAAAACATCAGGGAAACATGCATGTCTCAATAAGTTGTGCTGAAATAACTTAATTCCCTGTAATCACTAATAAACTTTAGTGTCTCATACGTTGAGACATCGGAGTGATAGGCTAGAATCACGATGTCTCATACGGTGAGACAGCGGAGTGCAAAGGGTTAATATTAATGTATTGTTTTTACGTTTATTGTTTCCATGATTTATAGTTATATAATATTAAGAAAAATAATTAATACAAATTTATGTAATCGATTAAGAATATTACACTTATTCGATTTCTTGATGATTATGAAATTAATTATATAACTGGTCTTCATAATTACATAATCTTTTACTATTTTACTCGAACATGAAAAAATCTTAACAAATAATAATAATCTTTGATGAATATGAAATAATTTTTGTTTTTAATTATTATTCTGATTATTTAATGAATTATTTTTTCTGATATAGAACCATCTCCGGAGTTCAGCAGACACACAATAATTAAGCCACGAGTTTACCATGGTAGAACGAAGAGACAAATATCATCGACCAAAGAGAACGTAAGAAAATATTAATATATTTTATTTCTTATTATTTATTAACAAAATATATAAATTATATATATATATATATATATATATATATATATATAATAAATCGGAATTTCCACTTATAATTTTTAATCTTATCTCTCTCTTTATAAATAATTATATTTTATTATCAAATAATAAAAAATATATTTATTATTTTTATTCAATAAATACGAATTTATTTCACTGTTAAAAAAAAAAAATAATAATTAATTGATTATAAATAAAAACTCTTAACAATCGTAGTGTCTTTCAGTATATTTAATTCTTCTCTTTAAATCTTAATAAATATTGACAAAAGTTATAAAATATCATTATTCTCAGGCACGAATTAAATATTCTTCGTTATGTATGTTTATACTTGTATATCTGTCTCTTTATTTTTCTCTGTTTTCCTCGGTAGTTTCCAATGCAAGACCCGATTCATGTTCGGGTGCAACAATTTCAATGCAAATATCGTTACGTTGCACGAATGCAAAATCCGACAACGGAGTCGTTGGGATATTTGCTACATCTCGCGTTGCTATTCTCTCTCTCTCTCTCTCTCTATCTCTCTATCTCTATCTCTCTCTATCTCTCTCTTTCCTTCTTTGATATACGTTTAGGGAAGGAAGAGAAATTGAAGGAAGATTGTGTCAAGTGACAAAGTTCAAGCATATGTTTGTTCTCTACCAAATCTATTGAGCCAATAAGAATAAATTTCGGATTTTTCCATATAACAAAAATCTACATATTAACAATTATCAATGAATAAAAAAATAGAAATAAACAATAGTTATTATACATCTATCAGATAGTAAATTTGATATTTTTATATTTTTTATCGTAAAAAGGACTTTCGTTTTTATCTTTGATGCAATATTGTTCAAATGGTTATACGTTTCACAATGGTTTTTTTTTCTCTTAACTCATATGGGACCCAGTTTTCTACCTTCTGGATCATTCCCATTGCTTTTAAACGTTTGCTAACGGTTGATTTATCGACATTTAGTATTTCCAATAATTTTTGGAACATCTGACATGAATATTTTTCCAACGATACTTTCAATTCTTTATATTCAAACTTTTTCATCTGACTAGGGTATTCTTTGTTATTTATCTAAAATAAATCGTTTAAATCAATCTCTGCAAGTTGTTTCAAATAGAACATGTTTCTCCATAAACCTAAATTAGTGAACAATGACTTTACACATTGAAATAGCTGTATCATTAAACAACGAGAATTAACTCAACAATCCAATAATAATATTAATAAAAATTATTATATTTCACAATTACATTTGAATATCAGTCGATTATTTTATCCATAAATACTTTTCTCTAGGATAACAATGAGTTTAATTAAACTACAATTGTACTTGTATTTCGCAAGTATTACAAATTAACATATACATACAATTAAAGTATAGACAATTGTTTTTTAATTGCTATATTATATATGTTAATGAAAATTCAACTAAAGATAATCTTTAAAATGGTAGAGTTAATAATGTAATATAGAATAAGATAGAATTTGAGAGATAAGTAATATTCCTGCGAATGAGATTATTTTTCTTTTTTTTTCTCACTTCTTTTCCCTTTTTTTTCTTGTATTCTTTTGTGACATTAACATTTAATTAGTCTATTCTAGTTATAGTTTAGTTAGCCGAGAAGTTACTGGTTTACTTTTTCTTTTCTTTATCAAGCCTATTCATCGATGACTTTAAAAAGATATCAGAAAATAATCTTACAAGATCGTAATTTCACAATTACTTATTTCTCACCGTATACAAATATATATATATATATATATATATATATATATATATTTTTTATTATATAGTAATATTAACTCTTTGAACTGAATTTATTTTAAAAAATCGTCGTAGGTTTATTTGTATTTTATTTTTAGGAAAACTTGTACGCACAGTTAAATTTATTATGTTATTTATATTTTTAGAATATTTTAAATCGAATAATAAATAAATAMATATAAATAATTAAGAAATAAACTGCAATAACTAATTATTACTTTTTTCCCACGTTAAAAGTGATAAACGAATTCAAAGTTCACAATATTTATTAATTATAAATAAAATTATTAAAATTGTTGAATTGATAGTTAACGTATATTTATATAGATTAATAATTTTTTGATTTAACGTTACATAAGTTTTTTTTTTATATATAATTAAGAAAATAATTCTCGACCCATAAAGAGTTAAATAATTTAATTATTGGATTGTCCGGAAAGTTCGTGCCGATTTTGATGGAAGATTGAAATGCAACGCAAAATTTAAGTTTTTTTTTTGGTATATATTTATTAAATTATATATAAGTGTCATTCTGTTCTACAACCTTTCTCCATCTTTAAGAGTAATTTCAAAATTTTGTCCTTCCAAAACTTCTCAGGTTTAATTAGCAAAAGAACTTTATGCCATCTACCGAAAATCGGCACAAACTTTCCGGACAACTCAATATATACGCATAAAGAAAATATAGAAAAAAAGGAGAAACAGAGAGAAAACAATAAAAGTTCAATGTTCTTTTTGATATTCATGAATTGACTTTATATTAAGTTAGTATAAATCGTTGCTCATACTGACCGTTTCAATATACCAAGAAGCAAAAGCGAATTGAGGTAAGAAGGAAAACGTGAAGGGGAGGAGGGTCCCCTTTTATTCCACATTTTTCTACTTACACTAGTACATATATATATATACACAGGTATACATGTATGAAGAAAATCGACGTTGCAAAAGGAAATGGAGTCCGTGTTAAACCACGTGTATGCTCGAGGCGATATAATGCGTTTGAAAGTTGCGCTTCTCTATACAAAGCATGTACGTGAACGTTTGTATGTAATTGAGTATATAAATAGCTCGATATATTGTAACCAACACAGAAAGTCACGAAAAGCTACATCAAAGAGCAAAGTCTTGAAGATATACGTGCAGTAGCTTGGAAACGATAAACTTCAAAAAGAACTTTTACCTTTCTCCATTTTCCTCCATTTTCCCTCAACAAATTTTTCTTTCTTAGTTACATTCATTGATAAAGGAACGCGACAAATTCTTTCTTATATTTTTTAATATATTCTTTTCTCTTTTTAAAACCTATTTTGAAAATAAATTTGATTAATCGACTATGATATGTTTCTTTGTATTTCAATGCAAATGTAAAACACAAGTTTTTCTCAGGTCTTCTTCAAGTAATTTAAAAGATTGTTTTGTAATATTGTGTTCATTTTTCATATCGATATTATAATTGCTATTTTACTGGTTGGTAATTTACTTTTCAAGTAATTGGTCGGCTAAAAGTGGGTGCTGCTTTGACATCTAAATTTTCAAATTGAAAACCTTTGAACCAGCTTCTTTAAACACTCATTGATACTGCATCTTGCATTTATTTTTTGTAGTTCTTTTAAATTCTTTTTTTTCCAACTCCTTCGACTTTTATAGTAAATTAACACGCTCCGTGCCACGTGTACCACCGGTGGTACACTTACCATTAGACATATTTATTTAATACGATGAAAATATATGTTTATAACAAATTTAATTTTATACAAAAATATTTCTATTAAAATATTATAAGCATAATATACAATAAAGCACATAAGTTTGTTTTAATTGTTATATTTATAATAATTAATAATTACATGTAATGATTGATTTTGTTCAAGCAAAATTAAATAGCTTGAATGACAAGTCAGATAAAAAGGGCTTGGCACGGAACGTGTTAATTATGTATCCACATGTAAAGTACAAAAGTCATATTTTATAACATAATTTTGAAGAAACTTCTTATTTTAACATCAAAAGTACAATTATCTCGTGCACATATCACATACAAAGATGCAAAAATGTACTGGCATTTAACTAGACGATAAAATTCCTAGAAGACTTGTTACTTTGAAAGGAAACGTTTTGTTCGTTCATAAAACACTGCCCTTCGTTTAAATAGCTTAAACAGACAATGTAAAAGAGGAGTAACATCCTATTACACGTTATGACAGGTTATCACTGATTCAGAAGGACATCTGCTCGACAAATCCAACGAATATTTTACGCAAGGTTAAAATGAATAGTTCCTGAACGACTCCTGTTCTTTGTTCATATCAGCTGGTTCTAACAACTCACTGAAATGACACTTCCTTTTACTTTATATCTTTCTATGTATAATAAATATAAATGTTCTATCTTATGTGTATGCTTGATATGTGCAAGTTAGAGGAATAAGATATTTCAAAGAATTTTCATTAAAAGATAAGAGAATACTATTATTATTATGAATAATATTTTTATTCATAATATAATTAATATATTTTTTTTAATAATATTTAATTAATAATTTATTAAATTTAATTTAATAATTAATAAAAAAAAATTAATAATAATATATTTAATATATTTATCTAATAATATTTTTTTTCGTCAGTATTCATATAAAAAATTTATTCAAAATACTAATTAATAATTGTTATTAAATAAAATTAATTATTAAGCTTTATATATTCGTTGTTCGAATATTAAAATAATCGAATTGATTTCTTTATAAATTGAAAATCAATTTAACATGTTTATTAATTCTTCTTAAGTGTTATAAAAATTTAAAATAATTTTTTGTCTACATTTTTAAGAGTAGATTTTGAATTTATTTTTAATTTTATTGAGATAATGAGAAAGTTAACATTATAGTTGGAGGGTAAACGACCTAACTATGTTGGATCATTACTTCTTAGCCGATTACTTTAAAGTCAAACAACGTGGGCACGATTAGTAACACATGGATGGGTGATTCGTTCGAAAAAAAAAAAAAAAACAATGATCATGTGATACTAACTCTAGAAAGACGGTAAAAAGATACGACCTCTTTGTTAGTATTGGATAGATGTTGGAAGGTGTTCGTAAAAAAGTCAACTCGAACTCGTAAAATGGAGAATAAAAAGACACACAAGTTGATCGTTTTCAATTGACAGTGGAGGTTAC